ACGTTTACCCAAACTATCCCAAACCAACGATACCTAACCCCGACAAGTTTAATGGCAGACCCCCCTGGAATCACCCGCCTTAAGCAGGTGATTCCCGACATCTCAAACCTCCTGGAAAGCACCTAATCTCTCTAACTCTTCCAAATTTAACACTTTAGGCCAACCGCCACAAACCACTACTTTTCTCGCTCCGTACCCCTACTTTTTTTCTTTCTTCGTTCGCTCTCAGTCCCGCAACCACCAAAACCCACACCCCAAACCTACCAAGGCTCTTGCAGGCTACCAGCAAAGACAAGAAGCCTTAAATGGCTATGTCTGCGTTAAACATCACGTCACAGACCGGGGGAGTGAAGTGACAGCAGCGACGGGGTGCAGAAGAGGTTAAACCCCGCGAGTCTGAAGAGCGAGTTTTCCGTCGGTTATTGTTATTGTTTGTGAAGTTGACGTTAATTTAGAAGTTAGTTTGTTCCTGTTCCGCATTTAAAGTTATACCGAGGTGAATAAAAGTTGGAAGCTGAAGAAAAAGTTTGATACTCGGCCATCCACGGTACAATACACAAGTATGTACTTGTAACGTTTATGGTAAAAAATAAGCAAAATTAATAAGAAAATGTAATAACGTAACATGTGAATATTCATTTTGTTTTATTTGGCTATTAAACCAGATTTCCCCACAGGGTCAAATACAAATAGTAAAATCCGAATTATTTTAATTTAATAAAAATAAATCACTAATATCATATTTTATAGTTACTATTTACTATACCTATAAGTATGGTCTATAAGTATACTTTATTTACGTCATATTTTTTAAGAGAGTTACATAAATGTGGAAATATATTGTATTGCCAGAAGTTTTCTGCAGCATCCATTAACATATCTACATATTCTTGATCATATTGCACCCATATATAAGAAAATTTAGAATTAGTTTCAAAAGCAGGATCTGTAACACAAAACAAAGTTTTCTTTTTGCTACATAAAAACATCTGTAGCTGCACTTGAGCTTTGTACTTTGCGGTATATTTTATTAAATAGTCGCATATAGTTTTTTTCAGATTGAGGACTTCAACTACAAATTCGTCAGATATCGCATCTAGAGAAGCCCCAAATATTGGATGCCTTTGACTTAAATGTAGCCCTATACGATTCAGTTTGATGTGCAGTTTTGTTGTTACACCAAGTATTTGGTTCACAACGGAGCCATCCGATTTTTTGACAGTGATTCTTCCATACCGCAGCTTCAGAGCATAGCTCGGGATCCATTTCCTCACAACAAAATTCTCAGAACTTTGAATAATCTGGTGCTCTCTCCGAGAAAGCGTTCACAAATTTCAACATCAATTGATATAGGCCAAAATGTACCTTTAGTCTATCAGGCTTGAAATGTTTTAATAGCTGACTTTCAGAATTGTTTTCCAAACCTTGGTTTAAAACTTCTTGTAAAAAAAGTGAGCTTTCTTCGTCGGAGCTCAACTCTTCTTGGGCTAATATCCTTTAATGTCAGATATTTAATCGAAGTTCCGACTTTATAAAGTTTACTTTTCGCGCAATAACAAAAAACTTCGGTTGGAGAAGGCTCTTCACTCCTTCTATGAAGCCACATCAGGAAAGCTATACCGTGTTTACACCCACCAGTAAGTAGATCCACACCAAAGTAGATATTTGTAGCTACAAATTATACCTAAAACTAAAAACTACTTTCTATAATACTTGCTTTCCTTGACATATACATAAAAATAAATAGTTTTTATATACATATATCAAGTTGGTTGGTTAAAAATGAACTTGGATTTAATTAAATTGTAACGTTTTAAACGTCCCTGTCCCAAAAATCCTAACTTTGCCCAGCAAACCGAGGCAAAACGAAAATTAGCCCTTTTCAACAAAAAAGTTGAAACAGGTATTTCGTATGCCCAAAAGACCCAAGCCCAACCCACCCAAAAAGCACAGCCACAAACTCCTCCCACACATCCAACTAAACAAGCTCCACACAAGCTAACCCAAACCCCGCCCCCAAAACCTGCGACTAACGCAAACCTAAATCCCCAACTAATCCAACTCCTTCTCCTTTCCGACAAAGAAATTGAGGCCAAAGTCACCAGACTGGCGGCTTTAATTTCCCAACATCCAGTCCTTAAAATGTTATGCTAAGGCATAACACAAAACCCCAAGGTGTCCATATCGTCTCCTGGAATGCAGCATCTTTGTACCCCAAAAAGTACAAATTTGAGGCATACCTAAAGGAAAACGATGTAGACATCGCTCTTATCCAAGAAACCTTCCTAAAACCCAACATTCACTTCCACATAAACAACTACGCCATTTACCG